CTTGCTCTGGAAACAGTGACTCCTAATATATACATTATTATACAATATGCCATAAGATAGTTTCAAATAATAACACCAATACTACGATTAACAAGCACACTACAAAATAAAATGTAGCATATCTTTATATCTCTATTTGTCCTTATGGGAAAACTAACTCTTGCAATATTCTCCCTGTCCAAAAAATAGACAAACTGTACTTTATGAAGACTTAAAACCTTTGTGTTTCAAAGGACGCCATCAAGGAAGTGAAAAAACAGCACACCAAATGAGAGAAAATATTTGCGAACCATACATCTGACAGAAAACTCGAGTCCAAAATATACAAAAAAACTCTTACAACTCAACAACAAAAAGGCAAATAACCCAGTTAAAAAACAAGGAAAGAGTTTGAATAGACCTTTCTCCAAAGAAAAGATGCAAACGGCCAGTAAGCACATGAAAAGATGGTCAACATTATTAGCCAGGGAAATGCAGATCAAAACCAGAGTAACAGGGGCCGCCCAGGGGCGCAGCAGTTAAGTTTGCACCTTCCACTTTGGCGACCTGGGTTCACCAGTTCGGATCCCGGGTGCGGACATGTCACCGCTTGGCAAGCCATGCTGTGGTAGGCGTTCCGCATATAGAGGATGATGGGCACGGATGTTAGCTCAGGGCCAGTCTTCCTTAGTGAAAAGAGGAGGATTGGCAGCAGTTAGCTCAGAGCTGATCTTCCTCAAAAAAAAAAAGAAAAGAAAATATATGTCCACACAAAAACTTGTACATGAATGTTCATAGCAGTATTATTCAAATAGCAAAAGAATAGAAATAGCCCAAATGTCTATCAACTGAGGAATGGATACGTTATGGTATATCCTTCCAATAGAATATTATTCAGCCACAAAAAGGAACGAAGTCCTGAGCCATGCCACAACAGGGAAGCACCTTGAAAACATTATGCTAAGTCAAAGCCACACACAAAAGGTCACTTACTCTATGATTCCACTTATAGGAAATATCCAGACTAGATAAATCCGTACAGAGAGAATGCAGATTGGTAGTTGGCCAGGGCCTGGGGGTGGGGGTGATGGAGAGAAACCGCTTAATGGCTAAGGACTTTTACTTTGGAATAATGAAAATGTTTTGGAACTAGAGGCAGTGATTGCACAACATTATGAATGTATTAAATGTCACTGGATGTTCACGTTAAAATGGTTCATTTTATGTCATGTGAATTTTACCTCACCAAATTGGTAAAATAAGAAAGGAGTGAAATCGTGACACATGCTACAACACGGATGAAGCTTGATAACATGCTAAATGAAAGCAGCCAGACACAAACGGCCACATATTCTCTGATTCCATTTAAGTGAAACGTCCAGAATAGGCAAATCCATAGACACAGAAAGTCGCTTAGTGGTTTCCAGGGACTGGGGTGAGGGGGGAATGGATAGTAACTGCTAACGGGTAGGCATTTCTTTTGGGGGTGATGAAAATGTTCTGAATTAGCAGCTGCTATGGTTGCACAGATTTATGAATATACTAAAACCACTGAACTTTACACTTCAAAAAGCTGAATTTTATGGATTTTATGGTATATGAATTATACCTCAAGTAAAAAAAATTTCCTCCCCTCCTTTGTCCCAAAGACGCCCAAAGAAGAGAAGTCCAGGTACGTTGGCCCCACCCCTCCGCTCGTCTTTTCGTTTTCCCGGGAGCTCGGAGAGCGGCCGCGGCGCGCAAGTGCGCAGGCGCCCTTCCGGGTAGGAAGGCGCGAGGGGTTCGCCCCGCCCACGCGGGGTGACTCCTCCCACCCCGGGCCCGCCCCTCCCTCGCGGGGGTCCCGGGCGCCCCCAGCGAGGCCCTGCCGCCGCCGCGTTGCGGCGTTGCTCCAGCCTGCCATCTCAGGCGGCGCCCGAGGCCCGGGACTTGGTGCCAAGCCCCCCAGAGAGCGATCATTAAGCGTCGCCCGAGGGCCCCCGACCTCCCTGGCAGCCGCCCCCCCCCCCCCCCCCCC